GAGTGAGAAATAAAAAAGGTAACTTTTTATCTCACTATTCTGACTTTTTATCTCAGAATTGAAGTCGCAATTGCAGGTTATAAAGTCAGAATTGCGTGATATAAAGTCGCAATTGCGTGTTATTAAGTCAGAATTATGAGATATAAACTCGCAATTGCGAGGCTACTTGAAATTCTGGCTTTATAATATGCAAATTGGAGATATAGGCTAAAGTCAGAATTGCATGATATAAAGTCGCAATTGTGTGTTATAAAGTCAGAATTGTGAGATAACTATTCTGAGGTAAAATTGGACTTTATAACTCGCAATTGCGAGTTTATATCTCACAATTCTAAGAAACTATGTCAGAATTGGGAGATATAAAATCTTAATTATGTGTTATAAATTCAGAATTGCGAGAAAAAAGTCAGAATTTCGACTTTATAATACCAATTGGGAGATATAAAGTCAGAATAGCATGATAAGTCGCAATTGCGTGTTATAGCCTAAAGTCAGAATTGTGAGATATTAAACTATTCTGAGGTTAAAAAAATAAGTCATTTTTTCCCTTAGAATTTGATTTTATAATTCGCAATTGCGAGTTTATGTCACAATTATGAGACAAAATGTCAGAATTGGGAGACGTAAACTCCCAATTATGTAGGCCTATTATAAATTCAGAATTCTGACTTTATAGCACACAATTCTGGCTTTATTTCACGCAATTCTGACTTTATAACATGCAATTGAGACTTTACATCTTGCATACTGACTTTATTTCTCAGAATTGTGAGATATAAAGTCAGAACTGCGTTAAATAAACTCGCAATTGTGAGGAAAAAGTCGCAATTATATATTTTTAAATGTTTTATTCTGTGGCGGAAAAGAGCTTCCATATTCAAGTGACCATTTATATTTAACTTTATTCTTAAAGCACGAACGATCGCACGTGCGATCGTTCACCAACTCTACTCTCTCTACACCTACTCTTAACTATAGAATCAATTCTTAATGCGCATATGAACGCCATCAGCGTTTATCACAGGTTCTTAAACATTATTTAAGAACCGCTATACAGCCAAAACAATCTCATTTACTTTAAATTATATGTTTATCTCTGCTTTGAAACAATCTACATTGTTAAAAGCGCTATAAATGAAGTTGACTTGACTTGACTAGTGCGCATGCGTCTATGACGTCACCAAAACACACCTCCATCCACCATGTATTGGACCATCCAGCTACGTCATCGTGCTAAAGGCTGCAGGAGGACCTCTTGGAAATCTTACGCACATGGCATCCTTTAGCGTCAATATAACACGCACTGTTATGGGTAGGTTTAGGTCTGGGGTAGGGTTATGGTTATGACGCCTTGGGATCTGCATCTCATATTGACCCTAAAGGATGCCATGTGCGTAAGATTTCAACGAAATGTACAAAGCGTCACATGTATGACGCCAAAGGATGAGAACGGGCTGGTCTCTCTCACGCGCCAGTCAGACCAATTGCGGCAATGCACCACATATGCTTAAAGCTTTATGTTTTTCGAACGGATGCTTCACCTAAAATGCACCGCACTGCAAGTGATGCAATCCAAATGCAGCGTTCTATTGAAAATGAATGTATATTTCTGCCGTGCCGTACCAAACTGCAATGAAGAAACTGGTCTGACTGGGGCGTCATGGGCCTTTCACACAGGACCCGGAACGCGCTGCGCTATGAAACCCATTCATTTCAAAGGCTTGCGCCGCGCGAAAACGTTTTGTTGCTGCGTCGACCAAAGCGCAAGCACAGCAGTGCGCACCATTGACTTGCTCGCGCGCACGCCAAGGTCAAAGTTCAAAATAGTTCAACTTTTTCCGCTGCGCTGTGACGATTACCAGCGCGGCCAATAGAAACGGGACATCCAAACAAACATGGAAATCAAAATGGATGAACATGTGGATAGTACTGTGTGTCGGAAAACATTTTCCCAACTTATTTAGAGGATGAGTGTAAAAAGGAGGAACAACAATCAAAATGACTAACGTTATTATACTGACGTATAGAACTCCCGCTTAAAGTTTTTGAAAACTCTGCATACTTTGCTCTGGCATAGCGCAGCGCAAATCACTTTGTATCTGAAGAGCAACGCTGAACGTATTCCCCGTCCTGTGTGAAAGGTCCTTCACTCTTCCTCACGCACGGCACGTGTGCACACACAAACAAACAAACAAACACACACACACACAAACACAGGTTGCTAGGTTAGCATAGCAAATAGGCTCACCCCAGAAATGATATATTATTTGTTAGTAGTAAATGCTGCAGGTGTAGAAATCTACATAAAACAGATATTTACTTTGTCAGGGCTAGATTACAGCATGAAACCTGTTGTGCATATTAATAAATTAAATTGCTGTTCCTCTTCTTCTCCCTCTCTGCACTTCACAACGGAGTATGGACAGCTTTGTTCGCCCAGCTCAGTCATGCACTGTTCAAGAGGCTGCAATCTTTACAGAGAGCATTTTGAACACGCTCGTGACCGATATGAGGCCACTGTCCATGGTGGAGGACAAGGGATTTAGAGACATGATCTCAACATTCAATCCTCAACACAACCTGCCATCAAGAATATATTTCACACAACTGATGGAGAAGAAACACAGAGACATCACAGAGAAATTGAAAGCTGTCCTGAAGCAAACAGAGTGTGTTGCCCTGACAACAGACATTTGGACCAGTGTGGCAACAGAGGCCTACCTGGGTGACATGCCACTTCTTGGGGGAAGATTGGGAGATGAAGTCCCTCTCCCTAACCACAAGACCCCTAGAAGAGAGACACACTGCAGCCAACATTGCAGACTGGCTCGAGGAGACAACTGCCAAATTTGAGATTCCACTTGAAAAGGTCAAGGCAGTTGTCCATGACAATGGGGGCAATGTGGTGGCAGCAGCAATAATTCTTAGAGAGAGGCATGGGTGGGCTTCTGTGAGATGTGCAGGGCATACTTTAAATTTAGTTGTGCAGAGCACACTCAAAAACAATAAAACAATTGCTAGTTGTGTGGGTTCTGCCAGGTGCCTAGTGGAACACTTCAAAAAGAGTGAACTGGCCTGCACTAAGCTCAAAGAAAAACAACAGCAGATGGGAAAGCCACCACTCATATTGATACACAGTACGTATCACATGTTATCAAGAGTCCTGGAACAGCGATGGCCTGTGACTGCAGCTCTCTCCGATCCAGAAGTCAATCCGAGAGGTAAACACCACTATCTAAAGCCAGAGCAGTGGCACATCAGTGAGGAGTTGACACAGGTCCTTGGGCCATTTGAAGGAGCTACAGAGTTTCTTAGTGGAGAACGATATGTCACCCTCTCTGCCCTTCCACAGCTGGTCCAAAACCTTAAAAAGTCCACACTGACAGCAGAACCTGAAACTGCACCAGTGAAGGCATTTCAGGCTTCTTCTGCAGAGCAGATCACAGAGAGGTGGCAAGGGCTGGATGAATTTCTACCTGATGCTCCCAACCCTGTCCTTCTGGCTGCTGCTTTGGACCCCAGGTTTAGAAAACTAAAGTTCTTGGTGTTGAATGTCCAAACTAGTATTCAATCAATGGCACTATCTGCCAGAAGGGAAAACAAAAAAACAGACACATGTAAGGGTAGAGGAAGCCACTGCCACCACATCAGCTACACACACTACAGGTAGATCACATCAGACAAGTATTCTGGGATCATCATCAGAGGATGAGGATGAAGGAGAGGATGATGATGAGCAGAGGTCTTGGAGTATTTTGGTGAACAGCCTATTTCCAAGAAGGAGAATCCACTGCTATGGTGGAGAATAAATCAAGCTAGATATCCAACCTTAGCACAGCTGGCAAAGTCTTTCTTGGGGATCCCAGCAACATCAACACCCTCAGAGCGCCTGTTCTCTGCTGCCGGGAACATTGCCTCAAAACGTAGGGCAAGCCTAAGTGCTGAGCTTGTGGATATGTTGACGTTTCTCCATTGCAACTATAAGCTGTTGTAGAATCTGAAATATCTCTCTCTCTCACATACACACACACACACACTCACGCACACACTCTCTCACTCACTCTCTACCTCATCTAGGTACATTTTGATGTTTGTTTTGAGATTACAGCTGAAAATGTCTGATTCTTATTTATAATTGTTTTATTAACTTTTTTTTTTATAAATTGTATACATTGTGTACTAGTTTGGCTTGATATTTTATATTAATTTATTTTTGTTCTCAGGTGGGTAATTTGCTTACCCACCTGAGGTTGTTTAAAAACACACAAAAAATGTATCCGATTAATCGATCGATTGAGTGCTAGATTAATCGATTACAAAAAGAATCGACAGCTGCAGACCTAATTTCAACAATTAAATATAAACTTTAAGCTTGTCAAAGATATGTCCAACTTTCAGACAATGCTTTTTTTCAAGCCAACTTTAAAGGTTTTTTTTTTTTTTACGAACTTTACTCATCTAGTTCACTTTAATGTTTCCTCAATCAAGAACAAATGTGTGTGTGTGGAAAATGAGGGTGTGTTTGTGTATGAATATTGTATATTACTGTCATGTTTTATTCATGAAACTGTATTATTATCTCTAATGGTGAAGATATGAAACTGTATTATTATCTCTAATGGTGAAGATATGAAACTGTATTATTATCTCTAATGGTGAAGATATGAAACTGTATTATTGTCTCTAATGGTGAAGATATGAAACTGTATTGTCTGATGATATGAAACTGTATTATTGTCTCTAATGGTGAAGATATGAAACTGTATTATTGTCTGATGATATGAAACTGTATTATTGTCTGATGATATGAAACTGTATTATTGTCTGAAGATATGAAACTGTATTATTGTCTGATGATATGAAACTGTATTATTGTCTGATGATATGAAACTGTATTATTGTCTGATGATATGAAACTGTATTATTGTCTGATGATATGAAACTGTATTGTCTAATGATATGAAACTGATGATATGAAACTGTATTATTGTATGTTCCAGATCTTCTCCGTGTTGTTCCTGTGTATGTGTTTGGATCAGTCGGTGTAGTTTTACTGAACGCTGTTGCTCTGATGACTGAACTGATACTGAAAACAGGCGAGTCAACACTTCAACATCACTTGGTTTATATCTGAGCTTTCTGGTAAAAACACACACATTATATTGTTATTCTCATCCTCAGTTAATGGTGAAGGAGCCGTTGGAGATATGAGGATCATCGTCTTTTCCTCTGAATTCATCTTCACTTTAGTTCTCATGATTTTACTGATATTTGAACCCTGTGAGTATATCCTCAACTTAAAGACAATTACATTAATACATTCACTTCAGGTGTTTTGGTGCCTCTCGTATTTCTTTAAGGGATTTTCATATAAAAACATGTGACCAATAGTAATAAATGCTGAGTTTTGTGTTGTGATGATTGATGAATCTCACACGTGTGTTTATTGACTGTTTGATTGAACTGGTTAATTTTATTTTTCTTTGTTAAATCAGGACTCATCTATTATACAGTCTGAAGTGTTATGAATCTGAATAATCCTGTAAATCTCTTTTTCTCCTCCGTCTCTGAACTCACAGGGATCAAACCGTGTCTACAGTCATGTCAGGTTAGTATTTCATATTTAATGTGAATTAGATTTTATTAATTCACCAGCGTTTTGACTTCATGTTAAAGGTGCAGTCAGTGATTTTATGTTCATGTTTCTCTGGTGTGTTTGAGACTGAAGTCTTTATACAGACACACACGAGCCAAGAGAGAAATAAAACTGACTCTTCCCGACTCTACATCATTTATGTCAGATCTGTGAAATTCTTCCTTTAAATGTGGACAGAATGACTGACTGCACCTTTAAATAACTGTGTAAAAAAAAACAGAAAAACATTATTGAAGATCTGTGTGTGTATTAATGCATTAGTGTAGATCTGTGTGTATTAATGCATTAGTGTAGATCTGTGTGTATTAATGCATTAGTGAAGATCTGTGTGTGTATTAATGCATTAGTGTAGATCTGTGTGTTAATGAACTGTCTTGTCTTGAACACAGAAGAAATTAAAGTCTCGTCGAGCTCGAGCCGCTGGATCTCAGAATCAGGAATCTCAGGTTAGCGTCAGAAGAATCATTGTGGATTTGAACACTTTTCTCCAGAGATGTTGTGTAGATCATCAGTGTTTCTCAATCCTCCTGGAGAACATCAGCGCTTTCCTTTTATTTCACACAAAACACTTCAGATAATTGAGTGTGTAAAGCCTGTAATATCAGTAATACCCGTAATTATCCTGATCCTCTGAATGCTTTGTGGTAAGACTGTGAAGTGTTTTCTATGAGGACTGAGAAACACTGCTGTCATACTGTTGAAAATACATGTTAAAACATTCTCTCTTATTCTGAACACAGAATCCAGCAGAATCCCATGAGCTGAAGCCTCTGAATACAGATCCGGACACTGGTAGGAGTGAATCTCAGCCGGATTCAGTGGTGTCAAAAACATAATCACCAGTCAGAGAAAAACACTCCTGAGAAACTTCTGACTGATTTAAGAGCTCAATCTCATTCTGCATTCGTTATTGACACCGTTTTTTCTAATCTACGTTTCTTTGGTTTTGTGAATAGCTGTATATATATGCAGGATGTTTAACTGTATTGCGCTTGTTCTTTGTATTCATGTAATAGTGATTTGCTTTTATAACTAATTCTAGGTGTAAACTTCAACAATACAGATGAAAGTTGATCTGAAACTGCATTAAGATCATCAACTAAGAGAGAAATCAGTGTTATAACTTTAACTTTGTCCTGGTGGATTGAGGTTTGAGTCTCAGGATCATGAAGTCAGTAAATGTTCAGTTGTGTGTCTCTTCCTCCATCAGAAACACTGAGACTGAATGTTCAATCCTTCAGACGGCAGATCGGATCCTTCATGTAATATCAAAACTCCTCTGAGTTGTTGTTATCTTCCTTCCTCTTGCTAGAAAACATCTGTAATTCATTCCTTATGAAGTTTCCAGGCCAGAATGTGTCCAAACACAGAAGAGCTCCTGATCAGCCGTTCTCCTCTATTATAGTCTCGGCCGGATTTATGCATTAGTTATTACAATGAGGAGAAATAATTTTTGTATTATTATTATTTCACTCTAATGCTAAAATTATGTTAGACAATTACTTTTTTAAATGAATAAAATATAAGATATCGTAATTTTTAACATAAATCATTATTATGGTCTGTGTGTTTGTCAGATATTAAACTAAAGAGAAGTATTAGAAAGATCTTGTGGACAAATCTCCATTTCCAGAAGTGCCACGAACAGTCGGAGAGTCTCTGCTTATTCACGATTCAAGGGTGAATAAAGATGAAAATGAAATATGTGGTAAATCCGGCCCTGATAATAGTGAGCCTGGAAAGGAGATCAATAAATTAATATTTATGACTCTAAATTCTGCTATCACTTCTAATGGTGATCAAAACATGTTGGAGACTTTATGTGGAAGACAAAATGAGAGATTTATCTAAATGTCTGCCTATTGTGGACTGTTGTTTTGTAACATTGTGCTTTATTTCATATGTTGTAAATGCATACATGTAAATAATGTTTTACATTTTGTAAAATAAACATTTTGTTTTTTGCTCTGCAAAAGAGAAATGTCACTAAAACTAACGTTGACGGCTGTTATGTGTAATTTTGATGTGTATGTATATGTGTAATAAAACAACTTCACTCTCTTACCCGTTACTTTTGGTCGACGGCGAATCAAAAAGCACAATCCAGCTGGAATATCATAACCATCCCGCAGAAACAAACACAACACAGAAATGGAGCATATCTATATGTTTTAGAGCAGCAGAAATGTCTCATAAACAGCATCTGATGGTTTCCCTGAAGAAAAGAGAAGAACGTAGAGATGAAACCCAAACTCATCGTGGGAGAGTAATCGTGATAATAGGCTACAAAACGTGCCGGAAAAAAAAATATATCTTTGCTTTTATTTTATGTGCTGTAAGTAACTTTTCTAAAACTTAATCTGTATCAAATATGAAGCCTGTTATTTATGTGGTAAAGTGTGTAAACCTGTCAATAAATAATATCAATAATAAACTGCATATCAACTGTCTGCTGAGCATTTTACATTTATTAGCATCGCTATTATAATTAGGTTAGGGTTATGTTTTTGTGTCCGTTGCTCTTCTTCTTCTTCTCTGGAAGTATACATTGTAATAAGTCATAAACATCTTAAAAAGTGTTTTCTGTATGCTAATCTCAAATCAAATAGACTAGTTTCCATCCGCGAAATGTGCTAATATTAACACATAAACCCACACATTTTATGATGAACAAAACCGATAACGGAGACTCATTTTCCCTTTTTGCTTTTATTTTCTCTTTTTGCTTTTCTGCTGTTATCTGAAATGGTGTTCTTCAGCTCCAGTTTGTATCCAGCCTCTCACGGAGACTTCAGATGCTCCAATCACAAAGCCTGTGAAGTGACGACTCAACACGGGCGATATGGACTCTCTATGGTGGACGGCACTGATCCTCAACAACTCGTCTTAATACCGGCGTGATTACTTGGACTTCCAAAAGATGGAAATGGACAAATACTCTAAATGTTCCTATCCAATCTGACTTGTAATGCTGCCCGAATCATGCACTGTTCCTTCGTTGGCCAGAGGAGAACTGGCCCCCCGACTGAGTCCGGTTTCTCCCAAGGTTTTTTTCTCCATTCTGTGACCTGATGGAGTTTTGGTTCCTTGCCACTGTTGCCTTGGCTTTTGGCTTGCTTAGTTGGGGACATTTAATATTCAATAATATTATTGATCTGCCTTACTTAAGGTGGACGTTGACGCAATTTTCTTTTAGAAACAAACTTTGTTATATTGTTTTCATGTTATCACTGTGAAGCGCTTTGATACAATCTGTATTGTAAAAAGCGCTATATAAATAAAGGTGACTTGACTTGACTCATCCGGGTAACTGATGTTAGCAGCGCTAGGAATGTTTTTTCTTTGTGGAAGTTTTGCGTTTGGTGAGCTAATAAAGTATTAAAACTCAGTCAAATCAATATTTTGGGTACAGGTATGTAATTATGCCATCCAGTATCGTGCACTCACTCGAATACAAACGCAGCTTCTGCCATTTTGTGGATTTTACGATTTTAAAACTGTTTTTAATCTGAAATCAATCTTATCTCCATAATTATGTATGTAACGAAATGCTGTGTAATAAAAGGTATGTTTAACGTGTCCTTCTAATAGGGAATGTGGAGATGACGTCACGCCGTGTTGCATTATGGGTCCGCCGCCATATTTACAGGATTGCGCCCAATACCGCTGTATTTAAATGCATGTGTTGGAGGCTGTGTTTGGATTTTCTGTCGAGATTTTAATAAACGTCGATATGGTTGTTCAGTTCAACTGCCATAGCAGGTCACACGATCGTTCAGGGAGGAAACTGAACAACGGAATACGTTTTTTCACCTTTCTTTCTTGGAAAAAACAACAAGGGAAGCAGGTCGAGGAGCTGACGAGAAGACGCCGGATCGCGTGGGGTGCCGCAATCATGAGGAAAAACTTGACTTACTGTCCTCCGCTGCATACTACGTTTGTTAAAAGTTGTACAAAGCAAGAGGTTGTGTATTGTATATTCCTCGATGACTAACAGTTAGGAGGATAGTTGATGAATGATGTTGAATTTGTGGTTCATGTTAGCAGATGATAAAGCCAGGACACATTGCATGAATCAAATTATATTTATTTTGTTTTCAATTAACAATTTGCTTTGATATTCTGTAGATCTTTTTACATGGCTTTTTTAAAATGTTTGTGAATCATGTTTTTATGTAACTGCTTAATAAATACATTAAGTGACATCTCTGTTTCTGTACTGATTGCATCCAACAAAGACCCTTTAAGTACACATAAATGAGCAAAGATACATCAAACTATTTTAAAATAAATGACCAAATACCCTCATTTTTACACGTGTCAACATTGAATGATGACAATAAGGCACAGTTGTATTTAACAAGTTACCACATCTTGTGGCATTATAAAGTAATGTAAATTTCTTGCACAACCTATGAAAACTTAACATATGCTGAAAATAGCAAGCTAACAAACTATGAGAGCTGCTTTTCAGGTAAAATAGCTTGAACTTTATGTACAATAGTAATCAACTTAGCATAGGCTTTGAACACCAAAACTAAATCAGATGTATCAACGTTGTTTATCGCGGATAGTTTGTCCAAATAACGTTTTTTGGCAGTGGCATTTAGTTTATCCCGGTAGGGTCCCTTGTCTTTTTCTTTAAACATCTCCATTTCTTCCGTTCTTCTTCAATTTTACCTCGTTTTAGCCAAACACCCACTATTATACCGAAGGTAAACAGAGATCGTGCCTGTAAAGATGGCGCCCACGTCCCATAATGCAACACGGCGTGACGTACCTCCGCATTCCCTATTTGATCTCGCCGCTGAAACTGCTCTCTCCACGGAAGCTTTGCGTTTAAAGACCGAATAAAATATTTCAGCTCAGATCAATATTTCGTGTCTAATTATTTACTTCTGTGGCACGCAGCCGTGCACACATGAACAGTCCGCTGATAACAGACACTTTTACACGGAAGCGCGTCAAATTATCCACTAATAACCACATATTATGCCATGCATTGTAGACCCGTTTACTAACTGCATTTTTAATGTATCTTCCAAAAACAATGTTGACAGCAACAAACTTTTCCATAAAGAGGTGACATTTCTATAACTTGATTTCATGTTGCATTTTTAAAAACCGTATTAAATAGTATAGGCTATAGGCCTATGTGTCATAATGTAGCCTATAAATTCTTAAGTTTAACTGGTCAATTTAGTTAATAAGGCACTACTATAGGGCTGTTACCAGGCAAATACAATCAATTTCAACAAAATCCAGAGGCACCACAGATGTTCCCGGGGAACAAGTTTAGCCCAGACCACCTAACAAATGAAGCCACGCAGTGGTAATTCACATTTTTAACACTTGTTTTGCTAGCTATTTGAGTCTTTGAAGTATATGTGTATTTTCCTGCAGCCAAAGAAGAACTATCACCCTGCATTTTCTTTGAAGAAAAAAATAAATCCAGTCGTAGCCGGCACGGGGTTGGCTAGACTGTGAAATAGAGCATTTTACTAAACATATGCACTGTATTTATTATATTG